TAGAGATGGGGTCCCACTAAGTTGTCCAGGCTGGTTTTGAACTCCTGGCTTCCATCAATCCTCTCATCTCTGCCAGCCTAGACCCTTAACATGGCCTAGAAGGCCTCCATGAGTTCCATCTCACCTCTTTCTCGCTTTCTCCCCTCCGTACCTTTACAGGTTGCAGCCATTTCAAACTTTTCACTTCTGATGATCTCATGTTCTCTCTGACCCCGGAGCCAATGCAGTGAGGTTCCTCCCTAACTAGATTCTTATTCCCGGTAGATTCCCAGACAGGCCTTCCCAGAAAGAAGCCCTCTCCTACCTCCCAGATCGGGTTAGGCTCCTCGCCTGTGCTGACTTCATTCTCTCCCTCCAACATTGCTTAGAGTACTAAGTTGCAATTTTATGTCGAATTGATTGCTCAACTGGTCCATAAAACCTACGAGAAAAGGGCTGTATCCTTAGCCCTTGACACAGGGCCTTGTGCATCTGAAGTCTGCATATGAACCGCTTTATTTACCTGGGATATTATCTTATTTAATCCCCAAGACAATCCTGTGGGTTGGGCGTGGTTATTCCATTGTCATTGCTGTTATTTTAAATAAAGATGGGGCCTCACTATGATGCCTAGGCCAGTCAAACTCCTGGGCTCAGGGGATCCCTCACCTTGGCCTCCTAAAGTGTTAGGATTACAGGCGTGAGCCACCAAGACTGGCTGATTATCCTACTTTTAATGGATGAGCAAGGAGTCAAGGTTCCACTGGTTTTCTACTGCAGTGTCTCAGCTGAAGGCAAAACAAAAACAGAAACAAAAACAGAAACAAAACCCCACAGGGCTGTGCTGGCCTCCTGGGACTTCCAGAGGACAAGACCCTCTCTTCAGTGAGGCTGACCCACAGAGCCAGCGTGCCTTCCCTCCCGGCCACAGCTGTGTGCTGGAAAGCTGGAGGCCTGGGCCCCTAATAAAGAGCAGACCTCCCAATCTCCTGGCTCCCTCCTCCTCCCCTCACATGGTTTTTCAAATTAAAAGCAACTAAAACCTAAGAGCGGGAGAGGCACAACAGCATCCCTAGACTTGAGGAAGGGGCCCTCTCAGGAGGGAAGGGGTATCCAAAAGCCAGATCCAGGGGGTTCCAGTCCTACCAGCCTGTCACAAGCTCTAAGGAGAGTATGGCCCACCAAGCGGGGCTGGACCACGAAACAAGTTCTGGTAGTCAGTTAGGTCCCTAAACAGGCTGTGATGTTAGGAACCCTCTGCTTCTACTTCTCCCTGAAGAAAGAGCCCCCCCAACCCAGAAGAGAGGCTGCACCTTGAGATCCAGCCAGCAACTACAGAGAAGAGGAGGTGGGTGCGGAGTCCTGGGGGGTGGGTAACTTTCACTTCCAGCTACACAGACCCATCTCGATCTTTTTGGAGAATTCCCTTTCCCAGACTTGTGCCATTCTGAATTCTCAGCATGCCAATAGACTCCTTTGAGCTCCTTCTGAGCCTTAGCTGGGGCCGACCGGGACTAGGGCGTCCCTCTCTCCGTGGGGACCCCCCACATCTGTGCATCACCTCCAACACCTCCTGGCAAAGGACCCCTCCTCGCGGGACCCAGGGAGGCGACTCTTCCAGAGGCAGCCAAGAGTTAAAGGGGGTGGGAGAAGGGCAAGTTAGCATCGTTGTTTTCTTCGTTTTTTTTTTTTTTTTTTTTTTTTTTTTGCAAACCACCAAACGGGCCCTTCATTTTCAAAATGTGAAGCCAGAAACATCCCCGTTCTCTTGCCCCGCCCATCCCCATTTGAAAAAAATAATTCACAAGTTTAAATGTGATTTTCACAACTAACGGCTTTGATATGTTACATTCGCAAGGCTACTAGAGCAAACGGACCTGAATTCTTCGAGGAAAGTCGAATTGGGGGGTGGAGCTGGGGAGCAGAGGAGAAGACATAAAAAGCCAACTCAGCGGGAAGCACCCTCAAAGCCAAAGGTGTGGCGCTAGGAGCTGCGGCAGCCCTCCTCTCCTCGCCGGGAAGTTGGGGCCGGGAGTACCAGCTGGCCCTGGGCACGGCGAGATTTTGTTTTGTGTTTTTGTTTCCAGTGACCATTTTGATTTGGTTGTAAAAAGTTTAAAAGGTCGTCTTTTTGACGGTCAGCTCATCGGCTGCACCTTTTCATACCCTTGCCCCCAGTTTCGTGTCGCCTGCAGGCCTAGATGTGCAAGACCAGCGACAGAACTGTCACAGTCCCTACCGTCTTCTCCCAACTTCCCCGCCCGGCTCAGTTCGGGAGGTGGGCTTCCCTCTCCACTCGCAGCCTCCTGGACTCCCAGCTTGGAGAGAAAACCCACATTCTTAATCCCTTGATAATCCCTCAAAGAAGAAAAACAAAACAAAAACCTCCAAGAGGTTGAAAATTAGAATCCGGGCGCGGGTTGAGATCTGCGCAGACCTGCCCAGGCCGGTGTGGGTCGCTCCTCTCCCCCGGGTACACGTGGTGGCCTGGTCTCCACTCCCCACTCCCCACCCCGGGGGGAAGGTGCCCAGCCAGAAGCACAGGAAGCGGAGAAAAGACCAGCAGCTGGCCTCAGGAGGGCAAGGTTTCTCGCCGGCTGCGGCTCCGGGACCACCCAGGACCCGGGGCGTCGAGGGACCAATCTAGAAGGATCTTAGAACAACACTGAGACAGCGCGGCACGAACTCGCCCCACCTTCCCCCGGCGCCCAGAGCTGAGTGATGGGCGCAGACCCGACTTCTCCCGATCCAGCCTCGGACCAGCCAGAGGAGGCGGAAAACAGGATTCAAACCCACCTATGAGCAGTGGTAGGGGCGGGTGCTGTGGGGGCAGGACTCGATTTAAGGAACCAACCGCCTCGGTTCGAGGCCCTCCTGTCCGGAGGGAGGTTGCTCCTGACCAATGATTTTTGTTGTTGTTGTTGTTGTTGTTGTTATTTTGTTTTGACCACTGGGTTTATCTTGCTTTTGCAGAGGACGCAGATGTTGACCTCTCTTCTTTGCACGGTCTCTCCGCGAAATCTTCCCCCAACCATTTGCTTTCTTGCGCCACCCCCCACCGGGGCTCTGTCCCCGGAGTCAGCTCCTCAGGCCTTTAAACCTTCGAGAATGACACACATGGAAACCTTTAGCAAATGTTTGTTAATGATCATAACAAAGGCATCTTTCAAATTAGGCAGGTAATTACTACCAGAAGGACCGACAACTGGGTGCTCGCCGGCTCATCCATTGCTTTCTGCTTTAAACTCCCGAGGAGTCGCTGCCTAGACACCCCCGCCCGGCCTGCTTTTCGGGCTCCATTAAACGGCTCTGAAATGAACTGTGAAGTTACCATTTGTGGGCGGAGAGCGCTGGGGCCCTGCGGACTGGAGACACTGGCTTGACCGGGCTAGCAGTGTCGCCGGAGCAAAGCAGGCCCTTTGGGTAGGCTCTCCGTCTCACCTCCTACCCTCTGGGACAACTGGCGTAGAAATCCAGCTCTCCACTTAACAGCAGGAAGCCCAGCACCCGCTTTTCCCTTTTATTCCGCACTCTGTTTTTTGGGGGGATCGTTCATTCTCGTTCATTGTCTACAAACATTACGGTATCCTGTTAGCATTCCGAACAAGGAGCTGTTCATATATTTGCCTTCAATGATTTCCTGAAGGAACATGTGGAAGTAATAGCGAGCGGTGCAGTCACCCGAGCTGAAGATGCACGAGAGCCGGGCGCGTAGAAGAGCTGGGGCAATGGGGCCCCCAGCGTAGCCCCAGACGCCCTCTTTTCGACCCTGACACCCCAAGATCCTGTCCTAGTTAGGCACAGCATCGCGCGCCTTGGAGTATTTCTCCACCTCCTGGTGAAGGAGGAGACGGCTGCTCGACGTGCCAGGCCCAACCTGGCCACCCTGGCCATTTTCAGAGTGCGTGTGTAGGGGTGGGGGTTGAGGGAGAAGGATGAAGGATGACCCCCACCCCCAACAAGAGAATTCAAAAATCAGAGACCGAGAGGAAGGTGAACGCGCTCCCCTCCCCCACTGTCGCTGGGAAGGCCCACTCTGCCCGGTCTGGTTCCTGGAGTATCAGCGCCCCCTTTCCCTCGCCAGTAGGATCGTTTCCTCCGGACACTCTCTGGCCTCGCGCCTTGGGCGCAGGGTTTGGGGCTCAGCTGTCAACTCCAGGGCATTCGTAGGGTTCGACCCACGCGGCGGGAGGGAACGGAGGGAGAATCAAAAGGCACCCTCCCCCAAGACGCGGAGGCGGCGGGACGATTCCCCAAACGCCCACGCTTGAGCTTTTTTGTATGCGAGATAGAAGCCAGGGCAACCTCGCCCAGATAACCCCGAAAACAAAGGCACGACCAGATAAGTGGCTTCAAGGGAATAAAGGTCGTTCTATTGGAGAACGTTCCAAACCTACACAGACCCTCTTTTCTTAGTACCCTATTTCAGACTCCACCCAGCCTTTCACACACACATACGCCGAACACACACACCACACAAAACACTCACAACAAAAATCCATCATTGTCATATTGGACTCAACAGTTTGCCTAATCCCATTAAAAAACTAGCAGTTATATAGCCCTTTCCGGAAAAGCCCCTAGTTCAAAACCGCGCAACCGCTTGTAAGACTTTTCCCGAGGGTCCTAGTTCCAGCTGGGCCGAGTTTGTAGAAGGGACATTTCTTGATTCTAGATTTACATTCTCTCTGGGCATTAAATGCAATTTTACATGTTCGTTTTCTTCTTTTCAAAGAGAACACAAAACTATAGCAATGTAAGAAAATAACCCCAAAATAGGGAAGCAAACTCATTCTGGAAATGATGGGCTGTTTGTAGTTTCATAAAACCGCTTTCCCGGCAGAGCACCAACACCTCCCCCTTCCACCTCCCCATCCCATCTGGTCTGCTTCTCCCCGCCCCCCAGTTGTTGTCGAAGTCTGGGGGTTGGGACTGGACCCCCGATTGCGTAAGAGCGAAAAGGGAAGGCGCAATCTGGAGACTGGGACATTCGGCGCGCAGGGAGTTCCAGAGCAACTTTTATTTTGAAGAGACCAAGGTTGGGGGGGGGGGCTTATTTCCTGACAGCTATTTACTTAGAGCAAATGATTAGTTTTAGAAGGATGGACTATAACGTTGAATCAATTACAAAACGCGGTTTTTGAGCCCATTACTGTTGGAGCTACAAGGAGAGAAACAGAGGAGGAGACTACAAGCGATCATTGGAGGCCGTGGACACGCTCTTTACTCCATGTGTGGGACATTCATTGCGGAATAACATAGGAGGAGAAGGTAAGGGAGAAGAAAAAATGATTTTTGATTTTTGTTTATAAGGGAAGTCCCTGATCAGGCTCTGGGGCTGGAGAAAGTGAAGTAACTTTAAAACTTTAGGGGACAAGAAAAAAAAAATGGAGCTGAATTCCAGTTGTGTGTCCAGAGAGTAATATTTTTTTTCGGAATAAACTTCACTTCTGGATGGGCGGGAGATAACCATAGAGTTAGAAAGTCTAGGGATTCTTCTTCTTTTTTTCTTTCTTTAAACAACAACAACAAAAAACAAAAAAAAAACCAAAAAACAAAAAACACCGCACATTTTCCAGACCTACTTTTTAAAAACAATGTTTTTCTAACACCCCTATGGCCTCCCAAAGAAACTGTTTAGGCTTACATTTTTGAGGTTTCTTTTGGGAGTGGGGTGGTATTCGTGAATACTGGGCCGAACACCAAGGAACCGGGGGTGGAGGCAGAGGTGTTGGCCCTCTTCTTGGCAGTGGGTTCTGGAAGGCGACAGGTTTTAAATGAGTGTTTTCATTCCTCGTCTGCGGTTTGGCGGGACAGCGCTGCAGCCCGTGGTGTGGAGCGCAGCTGGGGGACCAGGGGAGGTAGGGAGAGGAGAGCGCCGTGTGGGGCGCGCGAAGGGGTTGCGGGGCGCGGGAGGAGGGCAGGGCTCGGCTGGAGACCGGACCTCCGTGCTGGCCCGCAGAAACGTAGAGCGGGCCGAATGCGCGTAATTACTGGACGGCGCTGCTCTGGGTGGGAGCCGGGACAGGTTTGGCGCGAGGGTGAGGCGGCTGCGGGACAAGCAGAGGGGAGCGGGCGAGAGCAAGGGTGTGGGGCGCTCTGGAGCGGTTTGTCGGGTCAGTGAGGTGCTAGGGGAGAGCTGGTGCCTGCCCGGCAGCGCGCTCGGGTTGCACGCCTTAGAGCGGGGGCGACAGCGGCGGCGCAGGCGGGCGGTCTGGAATAATGACAAACACATTTGGCCCCGAGTGAAGAAGTGGTCGTTGCCTCGCATTCCAGTAACTGGGATTTAAGGAATTTCGAACTGCACACTCAGGGGCCCTCATTGTGCGCCGTGGCCCCCGACCCCGCGGGTCTCCCCGCACCCCCTCCTCGGGGGACTCCACTCTGCATAGCCCGGGGCTCTGCTGCAGCTCAGTACTGGCCGAAGGCAGGAAGAGAGGGAAGTTCTCCAGGGCACTGCTGAACTTCTCGTGAGGAATTTAGGGACGACTTGGAACTGGGGAAACTTGTTTGCAGGTAAGACAGAAAGGTGGGAGGTAAACTATACTCTCCTTCCGGGCACCCGATCCCTGGGAACTCCCTACGCAGCGCCCCTCTCCGTTGTGTGGCACTCGCGGTCTGCGCTCGCCCTGCGCTCTTCAGTCCTCTCTAGTTGCCCTTTTCTCCATTCCTCTCCCTGCCCGCTTGGGAGCCGTCTGTGAGAACTTCTCCTTCCTCTGCTGTCTATCCCCATGGAAATCGGGTTTTACACACGAAAGTAACTCCGCCCGGCTGCGCCCGGGGAGCAGGCGGTGTTCATTTGGCTCTGAATATAATATGTGGGATCAGCGGTTCTGTTCCGAGAGGGTGTCGCCCAGATCCGAGAGACGAGGAGTGTGGCCCGACCCAAGTACGGCTGCCGGAGGGAGCCAGGAGCCCGGGACTGGCCAGGCTTGCGGGAGCTGCCGGTGTGGCCAGGCCTCGCGACTCGGTCCGGAAGGACTTGCTGGCCCGGCCTGCTGTCTGGTGTGTATCCCTCCCGCAGCCAGATCGCCGGTCCGGCTGTTCGCTCCCCAAGTTCTGCTAAGACCTCAGGGTGTGCCGAAAGCGTGCCTGGAAGAAGCTGCCACTCACTGCATCTCCCTGGGTGGGAGGCAAGCAGGGATGGCCCCTATCAGGTCCCGACCGCCCCGCGTCCGAAAAGCCCCGGGTTGGGCGGTGTGGGAAATGGCTTTTTGGCTCCGAGGCCGAATTGCTCAATGTTTTGGACCGACTCGCCTCGCCGCGGTCGCTCCTGACCAGATTTTTGGAGAAGGAAGAGGCATCCAGGGCAAACGAGGCACCACGCTCCTCCGCCGTGCTTCCCACGGCACAAACATCCCCGGAGCCACAGGAGCGCGGGAAGGGGCTCCCCGGGCGGGCGCAACCTCACCAAACGCCGCGGGGTCCCACTACCGACCCCTAATCTGGTTAACCTGGACCTCGGCTCTGCTGAATTGCATCTCCTCCCCCTCTCTCCTCGGCCTCCTCCTTTCCACCACCCTCTCGAGGGGAAGGCCCTGCCTCGACTCCTCGACAGGCGCGGGGCCGAGCAGCCTAGCTTTGACGCTACGGTCAGGCCCTGCTTTGGAGCTTGCATAGTTTTGGGTTGACCCAAGTGCAGCTGGACCTCGCTTACAAGAGGGAGGTGGAACGAGAGTGGGGGGACGCCAAGAATGAACCCATCGTTGGTCCCCGGTGTCCTTGCTCTTGCCTAAATCCTTACTTAGAGAGGGAGTTGGAGAGCCCTGGCTCTCAGCTCTCCGCCCCTGGGCCAGTTTCCTCTCGGGACGCGGACTGTGGAGGGATGCAGGGGGAGGGGCATTGGGCTGGGCTTTCCAGCTGCAAACACGTCTGGCGCCGAGGCGGGCCCATTTTGTGCCCCCTGGGGACGGACCGTGGGCGGCGCGCAGCGGCGGGACGCATTTTGGGGACGTGGTGGCCAGCGCCTTCCTGCAGACCCCGCGGAGAGCTGCGACCAAGTTATACGTTGCTGGTGGGAAAGTGGCAATTTTAGGAAAAGAGCTAAACGGGATCGGTGACCGAAAGGTGCGGCTCTCAGGGTCCCCGGAGTCTAACTCGCCGTGTCCACCCTCAGCATCAGCCCTGGGGCAGCAGAGAATCTTTCGGTCTCGCCCGGGGCGCAAGATGTAGGGTCTGGTCAAATTGCTTTTCCCTACTGCGCCCTAGTTACGGTCCTGCGGAGCTTGTCGTTTGCTGAATTGGCTTGGCCGCATTTCCTTTTGTTTTAAACCGATTAATGAGCGAACCCGGGATGGGTTGGAGAGGTAGATTTCAGGAGGAAATAATGGGAACCCCGACTTGGGGCGCCTTCTTCCCTGCCTCCTTCTACAGTTCCCCGGCCCCCGCGAAAGGGGAGTGAGAGGCGAGGGCGGGTGCGGACATGAGGGGGCAGAGGCGGCTAAGGCGCGTGTTGGGGAAGGTGGGCACCAGAAGCCACGATTCTTTTTTGTTTTTGGGTTTTTTTTGGAGACAGTCTCGCTCTGTCGTCCAGGCTGGAGTGCAGTGGCGCGATCTCGGCTCACTGCAACCTCCGACTCCCGGATTCAAGCGATTATCCTGCCTCAGCCTCCCGAGTAACTGGGATTACAGGTGCCCGCCACCACGCCCGGGTAGTAGAGACGGGATGTCACCATGTTGGCCAGGCTAGTCTCGAAGTCCTGACCTCAGGTGATCCCCCTCCCCCCCCCCCCCCCCCCCGCCTCCTCCTCGGCTTCTCAAAGTGCTGGGATTACAGGCGTGAGCCATCGCGCCTGGCCAGGCAGGGTTCTTAAAAGCCAAGAGGGCGCAGGCTAGCTCTCCTCAGCGTTCCCAGAGAGCTGCTACCCACGGCCGTGCGGCTCTCGTGCCTGTAGGAGGCGCTGGCGAGCGCCTGTAACCCTAAACCCCTTGGCCCCTTTCCTCCCACCCGGGCCGGCCCCTCTCCCTCCCTCCTCCACCCGGTCAGGCCCCGTCTCGGGTCTCAGTTGAAAACAATGCAAACGCCGAGCATCGTGCCTGGGGCTCGGCGGCCTCTGCGGCGCTGAGGTCCAGAGCGCGGCGCGCAGGTCCCCGGAGTGGCTGGGCATCGCCACCAAGCCCTGGACAACCGACGCCAAGGGCGTGGAGGAGGCGGGAGGGAGAGCTGACGGCGCAGGATTTCTGTGGGTGTGGCGGGGTTGTAAACGGGACGGTGGAAGGGGCTGGACCGAGCGGGTGCAGAGCCTCCTGGGCGAAGTCAGCGCGCTGCGCTCCCGCTGCGCTGTCTGGGACCCGAGCCGCGGCTGCGGGCGAGCGAGCGAGCGAGCGGGGTAAGATTCGCGGGGCTGTCGCGCCCTCTAGCGGGCTCCGGGGACGCGTCCCGCTTCCCCAGCCCCGGGCGGTCGGCGCCGCAGTCTCGGGGGAGCGCGGCGCTGCAACCCCAGGACCCCAGAGCGGAGGCTAGCCTGGGTCACTGCTCCTCCGGGCCGCAGCGGACGCGTCGCAGGCGCTGTGTGGGCCCGGGAGGCGCCGGGTGGACGAGAGGGGGCCGATGTCCCCGGGACTGAGAGTGGGGCGTCCTTGTAATTCAGCGTGGGAGAAGCAGGGTAGGGTGGAGGAGGACGGGTCCCGTGCGTTCTTGGGGGGCAGGCGCCGCCTTCTGCGTTCCAGCCCCTCGCCAGCTCCCCTGTCTCGCGGGCTGCCTGTTGCTGTTTGTTTTACGACCCTGCTTTATTGTGCAACGGGAACAGTCGTTTCCAATCCGCCCGCGGTCCCCGGGCTGCGCGGCCGTCGCGACCCTCGCAGGGCGGGTTCATGAGGGGCGGCGGTGACGCGCGGACAGATAGGAAAGCGCGGCCCGGGAACGGCGTCGCGGCCCCGGCGGGCCCCCTGCCCGGAGGGGGCGGAAACGCTGAGGTGGCGAAAGCGTGGGCTGCACAGAACCCGAGCGGCGAGTCGGGCTGAGCCTCTGCGGCCTGGCTTGGCAGCGTCGTCCTCCCGTTCCCGAGGCTCCGCTGCCCCGGCGCACCCGCTCCTGGTGACCGGGATGATGATGCGGATGATGGGGAGATGTCTGCCTTCCACGAATTCTCCCGGGGTCCCGAGGAGATTTAGCCATTTCCAACAGCAGTTTTCCTATTTCTGTTTAAACTCCGCGGGCTTTCAACGGAGGTCACCGCGAAAGCTAAAGTACAACCTAAGAAAGGAAGAGACTGAAGTGCAGATGTGGGACAGTGGAGCTCGGAATTCCTCCAAGCGGCGTCTGTGGGGCG